CTGTAGTGGCTGGTTATTAGTTTCTGGAAGTTTATTTCATGTCTCCATTTTCTGGCATATTTTTCTTTAGAATTGTTCATTATGTCCTTTTTATTTGAGATTTTGTCAGGCCACACTCATGGGAGCTTTGAAAGTGGTGATGAGTTGTTGCAGGCACCATAGTTTGAAGTGGTCGTTGTTGGTTAGTAGGCCTTTATGGTGGTATGAGTTGGGTCTCCTTTTTTGTAGGTGGTCCCAGTATGATAGTGCTCTCTTCTGTACTGCGAGCAGTAGAGGGAATCTGCCCAGCTCAGCCCGGCAAGCATTGTTAAAGGTGTTGTGATGGACTTAGAGGAGGTGCTTGCAGAATTCCAGATGGAATATTGGTTGGTTTGGGTAGGTGATGGGGCCCCATACTTCACTGCCATAAAGAAGGATTACGATGAGGACACTGTCAAAGATTTTAAGCCAGACTCTTCCTGGTGATTGGGCCAGTTTGTAGTCTCTCTGAAGTGACTGCTAAGTAGTTTGTTTTTGGCAGTTTGTTCCTTTTCCTGTCCCCACTCTCTTTCTTTCCTCACATTGACATCACTGACACAGTGGTATTTTTCCCCTCCTACTGACACTACCAATATTTGGGCATATTTTTTCTGCACCTCTGTTAGCCCCATATTTTGTTGTAGCACGCTTTGTGCACCTCTACTATTCCCTTAATTTTGCTACCGCACACTAAGCAGACCGCAACTATTGGCTCTGTTTTGGAGTGACATGTGTCAGGCTTGCTAATTCTTAGAATTTCCCACTTCTGATAATCAGCTCAACAAAAGGAAGATGTAATTAGCAGACAAGAAATCAGTTCTCAGCAATGTGTTCCAAGCACCCAATTAACCATCTAGTTCTGCCAATTTGTTGTTACACTCACTGTTTATCTTTTTAACTGTAAAGCGAGTTAGTTTACTTGTTGTGGGCATTGTTTATATATTGTTTACTTTGTTTAAATATTGATCATTTCATTTTGAGGTTGTTTGTAAAAAATGTGTAGATTGCCCATGTTTTGTAAGTAAACAATTTGGGGGAGTTGGTTT